CCACTTAATGACTTCAACAGTTTCCACTGGAAAACCTGATTTGTGTTTCTTCATCTTCAAGTTCAGCAAAACGCCTGAGACACTGCCTATTGCTTGGCCTGTACAGAACAAAAGACAGCTAATATAGTACCTACTATACCTACGACTAATGAAGAAGACATTAAAAATTTGCTAACTATATAAATTGTAAGAGGATAATATTGACCCAATTGTTTAATATTTACTGTCTAAGTGCCTAGATGCCTCAAATCGGGTCCTTATTGTGAAAAGCCCTGCACATTAGGGCTGTGCAAAGCTTCGGATCATGAATCAGATATAATACAGATGCCGAATCTATGAATCCGAATCAAATCATGGTAAGCTTTAGGCTTTCCAAATCAATTCGGTCATAGGGTATAATGGGGAATCAATTAAATATCTATAGCTTCCTTGTCTTGTGTCTGATTCAGATGAAACTTGCAGGGACCGTGGCCTCTGCTGAGGGCATGATGTGTGCCAAGTTTCAAGGAGATAGGAGTAGGGGCTTGGGGGAACTGCACCCCAAATTCTTGAAAGCAAAAAACACACACGTGACGTGAGTTAAGCCACAGCAGGGTCAAAACTGCAGGGGTGGTGGCCCCTGGTAAGGCCACAAAGCCTGCCAAGTTTCAAGGAGATAGATGCAGGGGTTTGGGGGAAACTGCACCTCAAGCTGCGGACAAGCAAAAAACTCGTGACATGGGTGACAGTGTGCGTGTTAAGGGCCTCAGAACCCATCTCCTTGACAGCTGGCAGGCTTTGTGGCCTTAGCAGGGGCTAGCAGGCCTGCAGCTTTCACCCTGCTGCGCCTTAACTAACACTAACACACACCCCCATTTCACAAATTTTGCTTGTCCACAGCTCAAGGTGCATTTTCTCCCAAACCCCTGCACCTATCTCTTTGAAACTTGGCAGGCTTTGTGGCCTCACCAGGGGTTACCATCCCTGCAGTTTTCACCCCCCTGTGGTGTAACACATACATGTGACAAGTTTTGCTTTCAAGAATTTGGGGTGCAGTTCTCCCCAAATCCCTGCACTTACCTCCTTGAAACTTGGTAGGATTCATGCTCAGAGGCTATCACCCCTGACACTTTCATCCAAATCAGACAAAAAACAACAAAGTTATAGATATTTCATTGATTCCCCATTATACCCTATGGCCGAATCTCTGAATCAGCTTTGAAGCTGATTCGGCCAAATCAAAGCAGGAATCTGATTTGGAGCTCCAAATCAAATCGCTGGCATCCAAATCGGCCAAATCTGAAACCAAATCAAATAGTTCCCTATTTACACAGGCCTACTGCACACACATTGTTGAACAAGGTGACAGGGGAAAACAATAGAATAGATATACTAGGTAAGTATCAATTAGTGTTTTTCCCATAGACAGCCAGATATACACAGGACTACAGTAAAGCATGTTTGTATATGATACAGTAGGAAATGTATGAACACGTCTTGTACATAAGGTAACTGGGCTACTGTAATAACTATGCTTAAAGAGCAGGCTTCATGCAAACCTGCTGTCAATTTTTCTTGCGCATTTACCACAGTTAATTTATGAAACTGCTTCTCTTCAGTTTATTTAAATTCCTGAATCTTGCACCATTTTGGTGGTATTCACTCAAGAGCCTCGTCTCACTCCCTAAATGAGAAGAGAGCCCTTAAAATTTAGCCTAGCTGGTACACTCCACACAAAAAACACAAAAACAAAACAAAAAAAAAAACAAACCCAGAAATCACACACAGTCATCTCGCATTCCTTAGCGGAGCTGAGCTAGAGACTACATACAGGGCAAAATTGAGCAGTCTATGATTTGCATGAGGAAGCCAAGAGTTCTGCACAATTCCCCACCCTACTTCCCCACTTATCTCCAAACTGTTCAGGCCTTTGTACCATTAAACAGAATGTATTACACACCTTAACTCATTTCAGTTACTCTATTTGCCTCCTGAATCATTTTCTCTACCAACTTCAAGAAGGTCCAGTAACAGAACTCTTGTACCATTTATGGTGTATACTCATTGCATAGTTAACTCTGACTTTATCACTTTTTGGTCCAAAAAAACAGCCTTCCTCTCCAAGTCTGGTGGTGCTTTCAAGCGTGGACTATTTGGCTCATTTGAGTCTGAAACTAAAACCCAAGTGAGATTGTTCCCTCAAGCTGATATCCCCCCCACTATGGGGTGAAGAATTACCAAAAAAGAAATCATCACTGAACAAGTTTGCTACAATGCCTTCCTACAGACTTGCACAAAACATTGTCCCACAGCTCACTAGGAATTTGCTCAGACTACAAAAAACCCCTCCGTAATTCATCCATCTAAATAAACCAGTATATATTTCCTTTACGTGTTCCACCATAATTTGATTTCTAGCTTCAGCAACCTACATTTGAAAGCCACAAAAAAGCCAGCAGTGAAGGAACAATTTAAAGTGAACCAACTGCAATACTATAAGCATGAAAAAAAGCCAAGCAGGTACAAAAAGATTTGTACTAGCCAAATGCCTGTTAGGAATGATGGTGGGTGGTCAGGGACAGAGCACTGTACCGCCTCCCAGGACTCTCCCACCCTGCACTGCCTCCCAGGAGCAAGGGGGAGGGAAGCTTGCCCTGCCATCCCCTCTGTCCCCCTTGGCCAGCACCCCGTGCCGCTGCCACCTCTAGGGAGCAGGGCAGGGCCAAGGCTGCTGGTGTCACCCCCCGCCCCGCTTAGTCCCTGCCATCATGGCAGAGCACCACCACCACTGCCTCCTGTCCAAAACACTCTTGGAGCACTCTGATTGGCTGCCAAGACAACCAATCAGAATGCAAGTAAAGTGACAGACAGACAGGTCAGACAGACTTCTGTTAGAAGACATGTTAGAATTCTTATTTGTATTTTATGGCTCCCATGCCTTACGATGAATAAAAACATTCCCCAGTTAAAGGCTGCCTTAAGATTCTTTTGTCTTCCTGAAACACAAAAAGCTACCACCGCTGAACTTGCGGCATTATACATGCAAGTCACAGAATCTCAAGCATTAAGAATTTCAGTGCAATACTAACTGGCTATGTTGCCAAGTGCTTTTCTGATTTTTTCCTTTAAAAAAGGAAACTGATTACTGCATACTATTTGTGTTACTGAAATATATTATGGTACTTAGATATTTAATATCTGAGCTCTTCAAGTAAATGAAGACTAGTTTTTAAAGAAAAAATAAAATAAAGAATGGTTGTTAAATCCCACAGTAAGGCAGAACTTATTTTGAGGATGGAACATTGACTCATTGTAAATGCAATATAGCTGCCTCCATATTGGTTCTAATTAAGGACAAGATTCTGGAGCAATATTTTTCCATCAGTTTAAACATTTTTTGTGTAGCAATTGAACAAAACTAAATTATTTTGTTGTAAAAATGGCCTCAACAGATATTTAACTAAACACACAATGAAAGTTTCTTAACATTTAACATGCTGCATAATTTCCAGAAGTTTGAGCTACTGTAGTAAGCCAGTGATGCTCAACCTCTTTAATTGGCAAGCAAAATGGGCAGTACCAGGTCTGTCCATAGGCCTGATCAAGCTGGTGGCCCTGATCCAGTGCCCAGTGTGGGTGCAGTGAGGCAGTGGGTGCAGTGCAGAGCAGGGCAAGGAGCAACCTGACTAATGGGAGAAGAGAACTTGACCTGGCCCCACAGAGAGGTGACGGGGGGTGGGCCTTGACAGCCCCAACCTAGCCCTAGCAGGGGAGAGGGGGCAGGGTTCAGCCCAGAAGGGCTGGGGGAGAAAAAGGCAGCTTAAACACTGCTCCAAATGTGCCCTATGGAGGGGACGGGGTCAGGGGAGGCGGCGGCGGCGGCATGGCCTAGCCCCAATCTAGTCATGTTAAGTGAAGAAGGCATGACTGGGACTCTGACCCATAAGGGCTTGGGAATTTGGCAGCAGGGAAATATGGTCATATTAAATAGCCACTGCTCCCCCACTGCTAAAATTCAGCCCAGAGCCCTGTGGGCTGGATGCTATGGCTCTGCAGGCCACATTTGTCCATTAGGCTGGTACTTGAGCACCCCTGCAGTAAACAATTTAGCATAGCATATTTCTAGTTTCTAGCAACTTGATAGCTGTGATCCGTTTCCTCAAGTGCATCATAGCAATTGATCTCAGCCAAGTCTGAGGGCTATGATTTAACATTGCTTACATATAATAATGAAGGATTCTTATTTTAAATATCCTTCTCCTCTTTTGAGAATTCAGTTTTCCTCAGACTAAGAATGAGTTCAGTAATCCCTGTATGGAAACTACTATGGCAACCCAGAGTTATTCTTTTCAAAGTTAGATGAGGAGTAACTTAGTGTCAAAACATGCCGTTGATGTCACATGCACTTCGTTCAAATATAAATGACTGTTTTGACACTATCTTGTGTTTTGTATATCTGAAAGCTCTACGTGCACATCTACGCAGTTTTGTATACTTCTCTGTAGTAGTACAAGAGTTCAAATACTGAGGAAAAAAACTTCAGCCCTAGATCATGACATATCCAAAACAGCTATTCTACTGATAGAATTTTGGACCCATTTTGTCCAAGGAAGATACGGTTAGTAACTTGACTGAGACAGAATGTGATTGTATACTGCCTTTTAAGACTAACAGCATAAATCTAAGATGTATTATTTGAAGCAGATGTTTACCTACATACAGTTTTGAGGAGCAAAGCTTTTAGAAGGGTTTCATTGTTTTTTGTTTTGTGAAAGGGAAGGAACACAGAGAAAGTTACTAAAGCCAGAAGGTATTTTAAAACACCTGAGGCAATATAAAAAAAATAATCAGAAAATTGGAATGCTACAGTTCTAATTTTTTTAAGTCCTAATTGTATTAAGTTTCCAAACCATGCAAGAGAGACTGAATCAGAACAGAAATTAATGATTCCAAAGGTCATTAAGTACACTTGACTTCAGGTTTTTCCCCCATGCATTCCGAACACTCACACTTTTGTTCCATTTCTTTAATTTCTTCAGGAGGAATTTTTAATTTGTCAATATGCTCTCTTACAACACTCGCCCATTTATGTAAAGAATCCAATGCAGTCCAAGGCCTAGACATGTCAACCACCAACATAATCAGAGTGTCCTTTAGAGAGCTAGCCTCCACTGCAAATTTAAGGAGGCCTTTATGATATAGGTCACCATCCAAGATCCACACATTGCATCTTGTTTGATCTGTAATAAAAAAAAAAACAACAATAGTTTTTAGTTTACATTTTAAGAAAAAACGCTTTATCCAGCAGACTGTTTCTAAGTATTTTAAAACTGCTCATTCTAATTTCTGCTCATTCAGCCAGATCTGTGGCAGCCACCGTGCTCTGGTTCCAGCAGGACAGGAGCAGCTGAAGGCCCCTTCCAGCAGGGCAGTTTGGGGAGTGAGGGGTACCAGCAGGGCCAGAGAGCTGCGAGTCAGGACTGGCCATCGATATTTTCAAATATTTTCTAATTTGGTCTCTTCCCAAGAAAAGGTTGTGTAATGCTCAAGGAAAATAACCTATGAATATAGAATGGGCATGAGGGAGATTTTAAATAAACTAAATAACTTTTAGACAAATTAAGATACATTTAAGTGGGCTCTCTCTTAACAAATAAGTTTCCTTAAGCAGATACCCAAAGAAGTTAAAGCCCACCACAGTCAACACTTAAAGTAAAGTATTCTGTAGTTTCAAAAAGTTAGTACTCATAGCATTAGTGGGAAA